GGCCACTGTGTCCCTGGTCTCGGAGCCCGGAGCCGTGGTCACGCCCGTGCCCACAGGGCCGTGAGCCTGCGTGTCAAGGCCGCCCAGGAGCGGGAGGACAGGGGCCCCCGCGAGCCCCGGCCCCTGCTGGACGACCTGGACGGCTGCCTCGCGGCGGTGGAGAGCGAGTTTGTCAGCTGCGGCTGCACAGAGAAGTGTGTGGACGTGCGGCTGGAGCGCGCCGAGGTCAAGAGGTGCGGCGGCTGTTGCCCTGGGGCCCTGCCCACTGCTCCCCGCTTCAGCCCTGCCCCCAGGCCAGGTCCCACCCTCACAACCCTCTGCGCCCCACAGCCGCCCCCCGCCCCCGCACGCCTGCACACGCCCCCATCCTGCAGCGCCCACACACACGATGGACCCACACTGTTGCTGGTGGGACCCCACCGCACCCCCAGTGCCCACCCCGCCCGCTGAGCCCCGCAGCCACCCGTAGCCGGGACGGCGCCTAAGAGGGGGGTCACCGTGGAGTGGGGGTGCACAGGAGGGGGGCAAGGCCCAGGAGAAGGTGGTGCCCAGGAGGAGAGGGGCACCCTGGAGCAGGGGGGCGCCCAGGAGCTGGCGGTCACCCCGCGCAGTGGGCCCGGCGGGAGGCGCGTGGCCTGTGCTGACCGCGGTTCCTTGCTCTTGCCAAGGAGGTGTTGGGGCGCCGGTGGGGGCCAGCCATCGTGCCAGCGAGACGGGGGGCAGGCGGCCTGGCACCCACGGGTGCTCTCCCTCCAGGCTGTGTGCCCGCGGCGAGCGAGACCAGGAGCTGCGGGCCAGCCTCTACCTGGAGGCGCACGAGCTGGCCCGCAGAGCCGTGGCCGAGGAGGAGGAGCGGCTGTGCGGCCTGCGGGGCCTGCTGCCCGCGCCCCAGGAGGTGAGTGGGCACCCCGCGCGCCTCCCCAGGACAGTCAGGTGCGAGACTGACCCGTAGCCACAGAGGCCCGGGGGTCAGACTCAGCAGGGCTGGCCAGAGGGAGGGAGACAAGAAACACCAGAAAGAGCGAGGACTGAACAGGCGGCCGCAGGGCAGCAGCTGGACACTGGCTGGGCTGATGGGCGCCGAGACTGGGCGGCAGGGACAGCCGGGTTTTCTAAACTGGTAAAAGTTGACAGTGAGCCCCCAGACCCAAAAGCTGGGAGAGGCCCAGGGCAAGAAGGGGCCGGAGCCAGACCGGCTCCGCCCAGGGGCTCTGTGGGGCCCAAGGCCCCCACCCGGCAGGAAGTCAGGGCGAACGCCCCGCACCGCCTGGGGGTGGTCACCCCTGAGGACGGAGGGCCGCCGAGCACACAGGCCGCTCAGGCCCCACGTCCAGCGGTCAGCCCCGGGGCAGCTTCAGCTGGGTGGATTTGCCTGCAAGGAGGAAGGAGCTGGGGGGATGGGCAGGCGGCTTTCGGGGGACACGGAAGCGGGGAGGGGGTGTAGGGGACAGTGAGGGCCAGGCCCAGCTTCAGGGCCCCGGCCCGGGGGCCTGGGGCAGGGGCGGGGCCTGGGTGGGGGCGGGCGGGGCGGCAGCCTGGGGCCCTGCAGTTGCAGAGCGTGAGCACGCCCCTGATGAGGAAGCTGGCCAGCCTCAAGCTGCGCCTGGCCGAGAGCAGCCTGGACACGCTGCAGCTGGCCTGGGAGGAGGACCAGCGGCAGCAGCTGGAGCAGAGCTCCCTGGACAACCTGCTGACGGGCTACCTGCAGAGCATGAGGGAGGACACCCCAGTCGGCCTGGTGAGCGGCCCGGCA